GTATATCACTGAGAGTATCTCGCCCGTACGGCAAAGCCTGACAAGCTACCCGTTACGCATTCGATATGCCAAGCACAGTAACAACAAGTCTCACAATGTTGACGTTACTGGGCCTGCTCAGGCAAATCGATGAACAACGGGAGGACAGTGCTTAATTTTTTTTTTTTTATTTCATCCTTGACTTCCTTCCTGACCCACTTGTTGTTCAACATTGAGTTGTTTAATTTCCAGGTGTTTGATTTGGTTCTGCGTGTCTGTGTGTGATTCACTTCTATTCTCTGTGCATTGTGGTCTGAAAAGATTGTTGATACTATTTCTACCTTCCTGATTCTATTGAGGTATGTTTTGTGGCCTAGCACATGGTCTATTTTGGAAAATGTTGTGTGTGCACTGGAGAAGAATGTGTATTCTTTCTTTTTGAGGTGTACAGCCCTGTATAGGTCTATAAGCCCCCTCTCTTCTATTTCTTCCTTCAAAGCCAATGTTTCCTTGCTGGGTTTTGGTGTTGCTGATCTATCCAGAGGTGATAAGGCGATGTTGAACTCTCTGACTACTATTGTGTTGCTAACAATGTCCTCCTTAAAATCTACAGCAGTTGTTTAAATATTTAGCTGTTCCCTCATTAGGTGTGTATACATTTAAGAGTGTGATTTCTTTCTGTTGTATGTATCCCTTGATGAATAGAAAATGGCCTTCGCTGTCCCTTCTAATCTTTTTCAACCTGAAATTTATGTTGTCATATATTAGTATGGCCACCCCAGCTTTTCTGAGGGAGCTGTTTGCTTGCAGAATTGTTTTCCATTCTTTAACTTTGAGTCTGTGTTTGCTCTGACTGTTGAGACGAGTTTCTTGTAGGCTGCAGAATGTTGGGTTCTCTCTCTGAATCCATTTTGCCCCTCTGTGTCTCTTAATTGGTGAATTTAGACCATTGATGTTGAGAGAGATTATTGTTATGGGGTTTTGTGGCATCTTTCTGTGCGGGTGTGTTGTGGTTGTAGGGTTTGTCTTATCTTATAGTAGCCTTTTAGCCCTTCTTTTAGGTTTGGTTTTGAGTCTCTGAAGTTCCTGAGCTGCTGTTTTTCCCCAAAGTAGTGTACCTTTCCTTCGAGTCTGAGTGAGAGTTTAGCTAGATAGAGAATTCTTGGTGAAGCGTTCATTTCAGTGAGTTTTTTCACTATATCTCACCATTGCCTTTGAGCTTGGAGGGTTTCCTCTCCTAGGTCTGCTGTGAATCTAAGAGACTCTTCTTCATATGTGATTTCCTTCTTTGACCTTGCTGCTTGCAGTCTTGTGTCTCTATCAGTGGCATCCATCATTCTAACTATGATATGTCTTGAAGTGTTTTTGTTAGGGTCTCTTTTAGCTGGCACCCTTTGGGCTCCTTGAATCTGAATGGCTGCGCTGTCCAAATCTGGGAATTTTTCAGCAATGATATTTTTTAACTGTGGCTTTTTCATTGGGACTGTTTTTCTGACCTTCTGGTATTCCAATGATTCTAATATTGTTCCTCTTGGAATCATCTCCTAGGACTCTGATTCACTCTAGATCTATTTTGACGTCTCTTGCCATTGTTTGATTTTGTCTTTTATCTTGGTGCAGCTGATCTTCCAGCTCACTGATTCTGTCTTCAGCTATGGCCATTCTACTGTTGAGGGCAGAGTGAGTTTTTTATTTCATCTATGGAATCTTTTATTCGTGACATTTCTGTGCATTGCTTTCCAATTTCTACTCTCATTTCTTCCTGGATTTTCTCGATTGTCTGGTCCATTGTTTCCTTCATTTCCTCCTTCAATTTACTGGATATCTGTCTCACTGTTTCATTGAGTTCATTGAACATCTTCATTACTTCATATCTGAATTATTTCTCAGAGAGGTCACTTAGGTGAGTAGCACCTACTAAGTCTTCAGGACTCTTTTCATCATCCTCCCCAGGTGGTGGGGATCTATGTTGTTTCTTCATGTTGGTGTGGAGCAATGGAAACTGAGATTTTACTTGAGATTGCTGGGTATGAGTATATTACATGTGGCCACGTGAGCGCCTGCTAGCCCAAAATTAGGCCATACCCACTTCTACAAAGCCACGCCCACTTCTTAAGAGGCCACGCCCCCTATGGGTACCAACCTGGGGGAGGAAGAAGACCAGAGCACAGAGTTGGGGATGAACAGGAAGAGGCTCAGGAATCTCTGCTTTACTTATTAAGAGGGTTTAATTCATGTGCCAGTCAAGTTTTGCCAAGGTATATATTGTTACCATACTTAGGTGTACTGTTGGCCCTTGGGTCTACACAGGCATTCTGATGTACGTGGCCATATACCAAATTCAAGGAAACATACATATACTATTTGAGAACACTAAATTCAGAAACATACATTTACCATTTAGAACACTTATCTGAAGCCCCTGTTTCTCATGCTGGAATAATCCCACACGCTGTTCCCAAGAGAGACTTCTCATGCCCTATCTTCACAGACAACTCTCTATTTAGCTGCTGTAAAAAACTGTCTTCTTCATGAAGCATATACGTAATACCCTCATGTCTGCCTGGCTCTGTGCATTTTGAATCATACAGGAGTCCACACTGATTGACAAATGAATAAATGTTAGGAGATACTCGTGGTTATGTTACTTAGTGATTTTCAAAATTTATTTTATTTTTAATTTTTGGTTCACACCCAGTGATTCACAGGGGTTACTCCTGGTTCTGAACTCAGGAATTACTCCTGGCGGTGCTTGGGGGACCATATGGGATGCTAGGAATCGAAGCTGGGTTGGCTGCGTGCAAGGCAAACCTCTTACTCACTGTGCTATCTCTCTAGCCCCTGATTTTCAAAATTTAAATGGAAGAGTTTTATGTCAAGGGAGACACAGATTCTAGGCCTCAACTATGAGACAAATTAGTTTAGATTAGGACCAGGCTGTTTTGGCAAAATGTTAGGAGATAAATGAATTATTGACAGTCTAGGTATATAACTATATCTATATATCTATAAATATTTGAAAAAATTAAACTAGTAACTTTTAAAGAAAAAACATTTTTAAAATGGTCTTTACATTCCCTAATTTCCCCATTTTTCAGTTTTTATTTTTCTATTTCTGGTTAATGGTCTGAATGTTAGTGATTTTATGAAATCACTGCAGAAATGAAAGACTGCACTAGCTAAGACATTGCAAAATTTTTTTTTACATTGATAATATCTCTCTATAAAAATTATATGTAGCACCTTATTTATGGTTTTAAATAATTTTATTGCATAGCACCAATTAAGACATAAGTATATAAAAATACTTAGAAATATTATAATGATGCACCCAATAATTTGTACTAACAGTCTCTCTAGCTGACATCACATTATTACAAATGAATTTCCTCGAAAACATTTAAAAGTAAAATGAAATTCTATTCCTCGAAATTATGAAAAAAATCAACACTTTCCTTAAACCTTATTATTCTGATGCCACATTAATTCTTATTTGAGAAAGCAGTGTTCAGCAAGGTTAAAAGCATATAGTTTATCAGATGTCTGGCAACTGGAGAAGGTGATGTGACAGAAATGACAACAAACATATAAAAAACAATTTTCTTATTTCCAAATGATTTTTTTTCTTCACTTCCTTCAACATACTTGGCTGGTGAGTGTCTAGGTCATCCCAGCTGACATGCAAATGACATGTCAGCTGCTGAGAAGTTCTTTCACATTTTTTTCAACATCCTTTTTCTAACAGAATGTGCAACAGAAACTAGCAGGCACCACTACAGACTTTGGGTCGAGACTGCAGTGTCATCTACACAGCACCACACTGGCCAGGACTCAGCATGCGGGAGCACGCAGAGGGAATGATGCAGCTCCAGCCCCAGGGAGGACCAGATGGGATCTAATAGCTCTTTTCTACTACTAATTTCTATGATGATTCCAAGTTCCCAAATGGCATATGTATTTATTTTAAATCTAAAGACTGAATATTGGTCAACGAAGTGACAAGGATTTTAATAAAAGATATTTTTCAGCAACTGTACCTATTCAGACATACTACATCTCAGTCACCCCTCACTCTCACACATTACATCACTTCCTAGTTGGGCAGAAGTAGATCTTGAGAAGTCAAACACAATATGTTCACAGTAATTATTAGCAACAGATACTTTTTGCAGCATTGAACTTCGTTTTCTTATGTTACCCAATAAGATATAATGGTGGTGGGAAGGTGCACTGGTGGTGGGATTGGTATTGGAATATTGACTATAATGAATCATGAACAATTATATAAAAAAACTGAAAAATACAAGTTTATCCAATCTTTTTCTGAGATAATGCAGCTCAGATTTAAAGATGATAGCACTCAACTCACGCTTGAGAAAATTACAAATGAAACTTCTGTTTTGACAGAGAAAAAGCATATATGAGAGAAGAAAATCTTAATGATTTGGGAAAATTATCAATGTATTTCTCTCATTTGTAATGAGTCCTAATGCAACTTCACTGAGGCTCTTCCATCAGCGAAACCGGATACAATCTAGTTCAGCTTCTCCCTCTACAGTCCTGGCAACATTATTTGTGCTTCTTGAGTGTCCCTAAACATTTTTTAAATTAGTTGCAGTCCCTTTATAACCGTTGTTTTCCAGCAGGCACATTAGGCTCATCATTCCCCCCTTCACATACTAAACTACAAGAGAGGCTGGTGGATGGGCAAGGAAACCAAGTTTGAAAAAAATTCCCAAGAAGATATACACAGTATTTGAAAGTCACAGCTTCTCATCATAAAATTATAGGATCAAATTTTGCAACATGGTTTTCTTAAGTTTGATGCTACAAAAATTACTTCGTTTAACCTGAAATAACTAACGGTATAAAAAACATACTGTGTTCTTTCAAAAAATTTCAAAATACTCTCTTTTCCCTCTTTCACCCAGTTATTATTACTTACGTCTCAAGCCGAGCTGACAGAGTCTAACAAAACTCTGGGGTGGATGGCGAATATGTCACTTATTTATAAAGGATACAAGCTCTGGTAGAGCGGGATGAGGCACTTCACAGCCCTGCTGGCATTGATGCATGTGGCACATATAAGGCTTGGCAGTAGCTTCCCACTCACTATGGCTCCATCAAAGAGAGGCCCAAAAAATGGAACCTGTTGATATAAAACAGAAATACTCTTAATTTTCAAGACACCAGCAAAATTCAAGCTAAAGATAAGGAGAACAAGTGACTAATGGGCAAAATCTGCAATGATCACACAGGCTGTGTCACCCACAAAGCAGCCACTGAATTTAACCAAATACAAGTCAAAGGCTTACAAATCATGCAAAACAAACTTATTTCATAACGCTTCTCTACTATCCACAATTCAGCAAAAACATTCTAAGTGCCTATTATACTCACACGAGTGTGAGTAAAACATGATACAGAGGCTTATGTGGCTGTAGCCTTTAGCCAGACATACTTTAGAAACCAACTGAGGAACTCGCAATGTTCTTGCCGGGGCTTCTGATGCTTAATAGAGATGGTATTTATCCTTATTAACAATCAGATGATTCTATTTACAATCTTACTGCTTCTTCAACTGTAATTCCCTCTGCTTCCAAGACACTGCACTATAATTTCCATCTACTCTCTTAATAGAGACTCTGTTTTCCTTGTTTGAACCACTTCTACCTAGTAGACAACGAGCATTATGAGCTATCTTCCTGGCCTAGGATTTGATTATTTCATTCAAATATCCAGATGTACAGATATAAACCTGTATGTTGTTTCTGAGTATCTGTGCTCGGTTCCCTATTTCTCTTCTTGATTTTGCCAAAGAACAGTAGTTCTGGACCTTCTCTCCCAAAGAACCATCTTTAATTTTAGTTACTTTTTATATTTTATATTTATTTTCTACATCAGAAATACCTTCTTTTATCTTTAGTTCTTCCCTTCCACTTCTTTTGAGTTTATGTTATTCTTTTTGGTTTTTAGGTTTTTTGAGATGAACGCCTACCATGATTTCTTTCCAATACAATCATTTAATCCTATATATTACTCTAAGTATTTCTCAACATCTAAATTATAATATACACTACTTTCAATTATTATCTAGCTTAGCATATTTTTATTTAAGCATATGTGTTGACCTCTGAATTACTTAGAAGCATGTATTTTTAATTCTAATATATTTCATTCATGCTATTTATGTTCTACTGCCTAATATTTGGGAGCACATATGATGTGGATTATAAAAAATTCAATCCTTTGTGATTTATAAAGGTTTCCTTCTTTTTTTTTTGTGACATACAACAGGACTTGGCAAATGTTTCCTGTAAAGAATTAGGTAGTAAATATTTCAGGTTTTGTGGTCCATACAGAGTCTGTTCAAGCTTCATAGCTCTGTGTTGCTATGCAAAAGCGGGTACAAGCATTATATAAGGGAATGAGTGTGTCACTGAGCTCTATTAAAATTATATTTGGTTTTGGGCTTCATGTAATAATTACTTGTCATAAAATGCACAATTGTTTTCAAACTTTAAGAAGAAAAATTTGGGCCAGGAATTTAGTCACTTCTTTTGTATGTGATCAGCCCCAGATTAATCCGTGGCACCACATATGTTCCCCTCAACACTTTCAGGAGTGATTCCTGAGCACAGAGCCAGAAGTTAGCCCTGCACACGTGCCAGGTATGATCAAAACCCAAATACACATGTAAAACTTAAGAGTCATCAAAAAGATCATACATTATGATCAAGTAGGATTTATCCCAGGGATGCAAGGATGGTTTAACATTAGCAAGTCAATCAACATAATCCATCTTATCAATTAAAAAATGGTGACTGTTCGAAGTCTAGAAAATTCAACATTGTTTTCATTTCCTTTCTCAGATTGATCTATAGATTTCATGTATATCTGTATTCAATGTATATCGGTATTTTGAAGAGATTAGTCTAAGATGTAAGTGGAAACTAAGAAAATCTAAGATACTTTTGTTTCCAAATACATTGTCTTCTGTTATTACACAAAATAAAATAAAGATCCCATGGGCTGTGTAGAGAATACAGAAGTGACGGAGTCTGCCGGGCATAGAGTCAGCCCTGGGGTTTCAAAGGGCACTCTCCGAGCCAGGAGTCAGCCTCGGGCACTGCCAGCTATGGGCCCCAAGCCCCCAAACAACAAGAACATCAAAAATAAAGCCCTGACTCTCATACTTCAGAAGTAAGATATACCTGAGAAAGAACAAAGTAGGGACTTGCCTAATCTACCATCTAATATGAAAGGTCATCAACTGTTTAAGTAGGACATGGGGCAGATACACAGCAGTCCTGTAGAACTGAGTACAGGTGTCTAGTTACAGTTGTCTGCACATACGATGGCTGATGAAAATAATATGTTAATCATATTACCTTGTGAAGTGGGGTTATTTGTTCATAGTACGTTAGATCACATGGCATGATCTTTCTTCCACAATCAGAATACTTAGTTTGGGTGTAAAGGGCAAGGACAGAGCCTCTTCCTTTATTTCTCCAGAGCCACATACAACTACTTTCATTCATACCAGCTGCACTATCATAAGAGTGAAAACTCAATAATCTCCCTTCAGACTGAAGTGGAAAATGCCATCTGGTCTAAGATCCTCAGCTCACAGGACATAAGTCAGTAAAGGAGCCTGCAGCTAGACAGGTTAAATGGCCCTACCCAGGGAAATAGTGCCACTATGGGGGGGGAGGGTCATTCTCCTGGGCACCACCTCCTATTTCTGTACTCAATGGCACATTTAAAGGAAGATGATATCATGCATTAGTTCTATTCAAAACCGTAACTCAACATTTAATCGTGGTTGGTCTGTCGATTTGCAAACTAGTTTTCTCAATAATTCATAAAGCCCTTCTGTAGCCTGGGTATTAGTGTGATTTCCCACGATTACTGACAAACCTGAGTTTCTATGTTAGCTGCAAGTTAGAAGATACATCATGTGGAGCACTGAATATATAGTACAATCTTGCATGCAGCCCAACCTGGTTCAATCCCTGGCACTACAAAGGCTCCCCTAAACACCACCAAGAGTGATTCTTTTTTTTTTTTTAAATGTATGAGTACTGCTATTTATTCAGTCACTGATTAAACTGATTGAAGCAGGCATGAACTCTGCATTACTTTTTTAGTTTTTTAATTTTTCATAAAGTTGTTCACAATAATTGTTTACATTCACTATTTCAACACCAATCCAACTCCCATTGCACCCTTCCACCACCACTTCTCTGAATCTCACCACCAAATCCCCCCCCCCCCGCCCCTTAGGCAGATGCTAAATAATTTATTTTGTACTGCTTGTCATGAATAGTATGAAGTGTCACGTGGCTGCGAAAGTGGCCATGTGCTTCTGGAATTCTGAAATTTTTAAATATTTGTGGTCTGGAGGCATCTCTGTGGTCTGCTGCTCTCTTCTGAGACTCATCTGTGAGTCCCAAGAGTGACTCTTGAACACAGAGTTGGAGTAAGAACTGAGTACCACCAGGTGAAACCCCAAAACCAAACCAAACCAAATCAAACCCCCCAAAAGACACTTTTGAGTCAGAGAAACAGCAGAATGGATAAGGCACTAACTTTGTATGCAGCTGATCTGGGTCCAAATCCCTGATACCATTTATGGTTCCCTGGCCCCCACTGGGAGTGATCCCAAGAGCACGGAGGCAGGATAAGCCACACACCCTAGCAGGTATAGTCCCTAAACAAAAATCCCCCCCACCCAAAGAAACCAAAACCAGAACCAAAACCAAAATACCCTCCATGTAGTTATGTGATTCTTGATGTATAAGTGTAAGAGGAAGCACAAACTTTGAAAACGCAGCTGCCCAAATAATTTTCTATTTCTCATGTCTGGGTCAGGCTAAGATACTTTCACACCCAGTTTCTCTCAGCTAGGAAACAGGAGAACAGACAAAGTAGCTCTGTCTGGAAGTGACCAAACTGAAGTTCGTGTTGCAATGCTGCTTAAACATGTCAGCATCAGATGTGCTCAGCTGCTGGATCAAGGATGCAGTGTATTTCAGAACATGAAAGTGCCCTCATATCTATGTTTTGTTTGTAAAAACTTATCTTTCAAGAACTCAATTGAGAAATCTTGATCACCAATGCAGGCTACTGAGTAGCTGAGTGATCCCAAGTTCTAGTTCTTCATAGAGAAAGTTCAGCCTCTGGATTAGAACACCATGTAGAGACTACTGAAGAACCAAGAAGGAATTTATTACCCACCCAGTTTGTCGGCTGTGCATCTTTTTGAAAACTTGGAGGCATGTGTTTATAACGAAGATCTGGCCATGATTTTTAAGATTACTTTTACTTAAGTGGTTTTTGGACTCACCCAGTAGCTCTTGATGGAGCTTGAGAGTCACTCATGGTGGTGCTTGGGAGAGAATCATGTACGATGCTGGGGAACAAACTAGGGTCAGCGGCATGCAGGGCAAGTGCCTTAATTCCTATAATAGTGCTCTGGCCCAGGGCCATGATTTTTGTGTCCAACATTTTTGCACAGATTATGAAAGTGGGTGACTTACTACAGGATCTAGGATTCAAGTCTGCTCTGAATTGTGCACAAATATAGTAAAACAAAACTAAAACCAGAAGTATGGTTTCCCACACTTCTATTAGATCCCTCAATAGAATAATACAAAAAAGTAATGGTGAAATGTGTTTGCTTGTTTGTTTTTGGGTCATACCTAGAGATGCTCAGGGCTTATTCCTGGGTCTGTACTCAGGAATTACTTCTGGTGGTGCTCAGAGGAACAAATGTGATGCTGGGGATCGAACCCAGGTGAGCCATGTGCAAGGCAAGTTCACGACCTACTGTACTATCTCTCTAGTCCTAATAGTGAAATGGAAGTGAATCAAATTCCAATGTGAAAGATTGGAAATAATGAATAATCAAAATGCATGGTCTAAGGAAGTTATTTCTGGGTGTGGGTATTCATGAGATTATGTTTCAGGGCTGCTGTGTGCCCAGGCAGAAGGCAAGACACACTCAGTGGCACACCCATACAAGGACAAGTCAGAGGAGGTTTAAGGCCCCTTGAACAGTCTAAGGACATGCCACAGGTTAATTTTGTAAAGGTCACCCTTGAGAGTAATTAAAATGCCAAAAAAAATGCACATATGGATTTTGTT